CGATAGATAGATAGATAGATAGATAGATAGATAGATAGATAGATAGATAGATAGATAGATAGATAGATAGATAGATAGATAGATAGATAGATAGATAGATAGATAGATAGATAGATAGATAGATAGATAGATCGATAGATAGATAGATAGATAGATAGATAGATAGATAGATAGATAGATAGATAGATAGATAGATAGATAGATAGATAGATAGATAGATCGATAGATCGATAGATAGATAGATAGATAGATAGATAGATAGATAGATAGATAGATAGATAGATAGATAGATAGATAGATAGATAGATAGATAGATAGATAGATAGATAGATAGATAGATAGATAGATAGATAGATAGATAGATAGATAGATAGATAATAGATAGATAGATAGATAGATAGATAGATAGATAGATAGATAGATAGATAGATAGATAGATAGATAGATAGATAGATAGATTGATAGATTGATAGATTGATAGATTGATAGATAGATAGATAGATAGATAGATAGATAGATAGATAGATAGATAGATAGATAGATAGATAGATAGATAGATAGATAGATAGATAGATAGATAGATAGATAGATAGATAGATAGATAGATAGATAGATAGATAGATAGAGCAATGTACTACGTGCCACCTGATTGAGATTGGCTTGTAAGACCACAAGTGAACTGGTGGTAACTCTATGCTCCGAAATTGCAATATCAGTAAAGGAGATAGTCAAGTATAGTCGAAAAAACACGATTTTCGTAGATCCAGTTGGTAGCCATGAAAGCGGTGATGGTGGAACACAATTTTTTCTTTTTCACTGTCATAGTACGTTACTCATTGAAATAGTGCAACATTAATTTGACAACTCTACATGTGTTCAGATCAGGCATGGAAAATTTAGTACTTTTTTATCATTTTATCGATACCTTTTGATATTAATATCGCGGAACAGAATTTTTATTGCCATAGGACCTGTTATCTGGACCGTATAGTTCGGCTCGAACATAACAACAGTATCTATTCAAACCATTATTTTCTTTTAGCCCGGTCAAAATTTGCAAAAAAACTTAATCTTCTATTAAATTAAAAAATCGCTTAAATGTTTAGTTTTAAACTACAGAGTACCACACTGATCACATAATCACAAATTTCCCCAACATATTCAATAGATATTTTTACATAAATTTTAAACAAAATAGAAGTTTTTCTTAAAAAAGAAATACTTAACAAATGTGTAAAAATTAATACAAAACAAAAAATACCTACCTTTTTATTTACTTTTATTTTGTGGTGTTATTTATAGCTAAAGTGTTAATGTCAGGAAAGTGTTAGAGAAGGTGGAGGAGGAGGTTGTTGTATTTTTATTGTTGATGTTGATTTTTTGCCACAGTCACTGCTGCTATAAGTTTATTAAATGGCTGTAGGTAATATGTATAACATTTTGTTGTTTTTATTGGTTTTCTTTAAGATTTTTGAAAGTTTTTCGAATTTTTTTTAATATTGAAAATACCACACTTTTCACACAGCAATGTTTTGTGTCTCTGTTTTTAACCTACTACACTCTTTTTTGGTTGTTTTTGTTTTTTTCTTTCTTTCTTTTTTTGTAATAAGTTTGTCAGAATGTTTGTGGGTTTTTTTGGCGCCCATTCCCTTCTTTAAAATGTTTTTATGTATTTTTTTTTGTCTTTTTTGTTAATTACTCTCTCTGTTGCTCTTCTCTTTAAGTTAGAGTGTTGTTGTTCTTGTTGTTTGTGAAAATAGAGGTAGTGGTGTGTTAGTTAATACTGAGTTATTGTGTTGTTGTGGTGTATAAGTAAATGAAGCATTAATTGTGTTGTTGGTGTGTGTACGAGTGTTTGCTGGCTTCGTTATGATGATGATGTTGATGTTGTAGCTAGCTGCTGCTGATGATGATGATGATGTTGATGTGAGCACGAGAGTTAGTGAGTCGTTTTTAATGTTGTTGGCTCCGTTTGCTTAGTTTTTCATAAGGCTTGCAAGTGAACGGTACATTTTCGGGTAAATTTCACAATTTACATTAATATACTTAGCAAATTATAGCAACTACAATAATAACAACAACAAAAACATGGGAGCCTTACACTCTTTTTTTGTTTTTATTTAAATTGTGTTCGTTCGTGCTCGTTTTTAACATTTTTAACGAAATCTTTTTTTTTTTTTTTTAAATAATTTACTTAAGTGAGGGAGTTTTTGTTTCTTTTTATAAAGAAACGGTAAATTTTCAATTTTTGCTGCTTTTTGTGAGAGAGAGCAAGCAAGTGTTAAAGAAAATTTCCCTTTTACTCTCTTTTGGTGTGTTTTTTTTTTTATAAAGAGTGTTTTTTTTTTGTTTAGAAAATATCAGTGAGAGAGTTTTAATGTGTGTGTGTGTTTTTGGTGGAGTTTTTTTTTTTTGTTGAGCGAGTATTTATGTCGCTTTCCTTAGGAAAAACATTGTTTTGTCGCTTTAGTTGCGTTTGAGCTCTTGGAGCTTTTTGGTGTGTTTGCGCTTCTTTTTTTCGAAAAAAGAAATTTTTATATAAAATTTCACTTTTTTATATATATTATAATAACAACTACAACAACAAAAAACAAAATTTTCTTTACTTATATATAGAAAAATAAAATATCAAAGTGAGTGTAAATGTGTGTATATAAAGAAATATATATATAGAAAATTATATTAAAAAGAAAAAGTTTAAGAAAGCAAGAAAAAAAAAAGTGAGCTCATTATGAAAAAATTGTTATTTAAAATAAAAGAAAATTAAAAAAGCTTTTTTTTTATAAAAAAATAAAAACAAATAAACAAATTTAGAAGAAAAATAAAAGAAAATTTATTATTTAAAACAAATCAAATTTAACAAAAAAATACAGGATTTTAAGAAAATGGCAACAAAGTTTAAAACCAAAAATTTTCCATTTTATTGATTATTAAAGAAAGTATTGAAAAATAATAAAAAATTTTCTTATAAATAAGAAGAAGAGTGTGTGTGAGTGTATTACTTTGCTGCTGCTGCTGTTTCTTTCTACTTTATTCTATTATGTTCATGTTCATTTAAAAAAGAAAAAGCTATTTTTAACAAAATAGCAAAAAAATATTCCAAAAAAGTAGAAGAAAATTAAAATTTTATAAAATTTCCCTTACAACAACTACCTTAAACTTGTGGATTTATTTAACCAAAAAAAAAAGGAAATTTAAAAATTTTCCTTAAATTAAAGTGAGTTTTTTCCATTTTGTTTATTTTTAACTAAAAAGAAGTGTGGCAACAACTATTTTTTTTTTTTTTTATAAGTCGTGGCATTACTTGGCAATTTTCTTGAAAAAAAAAAAAATTATGTTCAGACTTTTTCTTTTCTTTTTTTTTTTCCAACATTTTACTAGTGTTGGCTTTATAAATGGCGTCGTTGCTCCTCTGCTTGTTTAAATTACAAGCAAATAGGAGAAAAAGAGAGAGCTATATTAAGCTAAACCGCTAGAAAGAGAAAAAATGTTGTAGTTCCATCTTAATAGGAAAATGTAGTTATGTAGTTGAACTCATAAGAAAATACCCTACAACAACATAAAATATTACATTAAAACAGAGTAAGGAAATTTTTGTGTACTCTTAAAATACAAATTTCCCTTAAAAATGTTTATAAAAAAACTTTGTTTTAAAAGCTCTTAAAGAAGGGAAAACTCTTTAACTTTTTTTCCCCTTTAAAATCTCTTTTCCCTTTTCTTTCTTAAGGGAATTTTTTAAAGAAAAATGTTTTTGTAATAAACTCTTTCTAAGTTTTCTTTTGTTTTGTTTTTTTTTTCTCTGCTTTTGCTTAACTTAAAAATAATTAGATTATGTTTGTTTTTAATTAAATGTTATTTTTTTTTGTCTTTTTGCTAAAATAAAAAACAATTCTAGTTTAATGTTTTATAATTTTGTTTGTGTATTTGTTGTTTTTAAGAAATCCATAAATTATATATTTGTTTGTATTAGTTATGTGTTTGTATTTAAAAATACTTGAACTTGACCTTGAAATTTACTGCTATATAAATTGTTTTTATTCTAAAGTAGTCTTTTTTAATATAAAACAAGCAAAGATTTTTAAGGCAAATAATTTTGTTTTAATTAAAAAAAAAAATAAATACAAATTTTCCTAATTCCTTAACATTTTCTATAGTTTATGTACAACCAACTACAAATTCCCTTTAAAGACTTAATTTACCTTTAAAACATATTAAACTTAAATGAATTTAATTTATATTTAGTATTTTTTCTCAATTTACTTTTATATTTCTTCTAATTTTATCGATTTTTCTTAGTAAATTGTTACAGCAACATTATACACTCTCTGTCAGTTTAACATTTACTATGTAAATTTTTCTTTGTAAAATTTTTACATGTTTTTCTTACTAAAACTGATATTTTTTCTCTTTTTTTGTTATTCTTTTACATTTCTTGTTTTTCTCTTTTTATTATTACACATTTTTTTTAATAAATTACCGTTTTATTAGCCTGTCTGATGTGGTTTTTCTATAAAAACAAGAAAAATATACAGAAAATTCCCTTTGTTTACATAGTTAGAAGACATTAGTTTTGTTGTTGGTTTTCTTTTGACATGAATCATTAATGTAAAGTAAAATGATAGCCCTAACGCAGACAGTGACAAGCATTTAGCAAGAAAACATAAAAAACTCCTAAATAGTTAATATTAACAGGAAAATTTATTATTTCTTATAAAAATAAGCATAATTTATAAAATTAAATTGAGGAAGAAGAAATAAAGTTCATTTTAATACAATTTAAACACTCATTTAGTGCCAAATAAGGTTATTTTCAAAGAAAATTTAATATATTTTTGAAAAATTAGTTTTTTTATAAAATAAATGTGAATATTTTAATATTTCATATAAATTTAGTAACTATTTGTTACAAAATTAGATTTTCGATCTAATTTTGGTGGAAAAATTAGATTTCTTATAGAAATTTTAAATATTTCACTGTTTTTACAAAATTTATAATCAATTTATTTCAAAATAAGTTTTTATTTATAAAATATAAAAGTATAAAAATATTTTTATAATAAAACGCCACACGTTTACTTTTTATAGCAATTTTTAGGAAAACAAAGAAAATTTTAGATTTTTTTAAAGAAAATAAAATTGTTTAGAGTAAAACTAAAAAGGTTTAAAGATATTTTTAGGAAAATTTATAAGAAACATTGAAAATATAAATATTTTAATAATAACAAACAATTTGATAATTTTTTTATAGCGATTTCTATGAAAATGACAACATATTAAGCAAATTTTAGATTTTTTTTAAGAAAAGTAAATAAATTTAAGAAAATATGGAAGAGTTTAGCGAATAATTGTTAACAAATATTTAGTTCCACAGGTATTAAATGTAAATTTTTAGACCAAATAACTTTACGAAAGAATCATAATTTTCTTTTGTGCCAAACGATTTTGCCATTTTTCGAAAGAAAAGTTATTAAACTATAAAAGTTCTCTATTTATTAAAAAAGTGACAGAAAAGGGCAACATTTTTTTTAGTTAGAATAGAAAAAATTGCTAAATATTTACATTTTGCAATAAAAAATATGAACAAATTTGACAAAAAATTTTAAAAATGATAATGAAGTTTTTAATTTGTCAAAAATGATGGAGAATAACAAAATTGTTTAAGCAAAAAGGAAAACAAGGGCAAAATATTTGGATTTTTGCAAAAATATTTCAATATTCTAGATAAATGCAATGAAAAATTTTGAGAAATTGAAATAAAAACATTTTTAAACATATTTAATTAAAAATATAAAATATTTATGTTCGTATTCTGAAAAAGAACAACATATTTTTTTAACTTTTTATGAAAACTACCCTAAATTGCATTCTGTTTTTTCACTCTCGATAGTAATGTCATTAGGTTTCGGAGACCCTTCTTTTGTAGGCTTAAATATTAAATTTCCTAAATCTGACAAATTTTGAAAAAAGGACATTTTCATTGATACATTTAATTAGTAACTCTTTTTGAATTCAAAATTTTAGATAGGAATTCCAAGCACAAAGATTTTTCGATTTAGGCATTACGGTAATTTTCTAATTAATTCGAACTTCGAATAAGTAACTCTCAATAGTTATCTTGAAAATTTTAGAATTTCAACTAGAATTTTCTTTAAAAATCATTGCTGAAACAAGAAATTTTTTATATCTTCTACAAGTTCAGTATGATTTTATAGAAAATCTTTATTGTTTAATGTTTACTACCTTATTTTAATTACAAATTTCTTATACAAATCTTTAATATACAATATTATTAATTAAAATAAACATATTTTGCTCATAGAACTTCTATAATCTAGTATTTATACTATAAAAGATATCTACTTTTATAACATTTGCATAAACATGTCTTTCCGTTCTTTGTTTAACATTCTAAGCTGAATAACATGTTTGGTAAGAAGAAGATATAAAGCAGTGTTGTGTTTGTTTACATTACAAGTAAAATGTAAATAAAAACAATAAAATTACCAAAATAGTTCAAATATTTTTACAACAAAAGAAGTATTTAATATTTAAAAGAAATTAACACTAAATAAAAGTGTAATTGTTGAAATATAATAAAAATTTTAAAATAAAATTCAATTTAAAACAGTTTTGTATAAATTTGTCATGATGAAATTAGGTGTTTAGAAAATTTTTAACACCAGATGTAAAAATGGAAAAATATCCCAAAAAAGTTGTTTTAAAATTTTAACTAAAGCTAAAAAATATGTCAAAGTAATTTTACAACAGTTTTTTAACATTTTTAAACAAAAATCTTTATAACTTTTTGTTAATATGACTCATTTCTAAGAAAATTCTAAACAACATAAATTTTTAATAAGTTTTTAAAATAATTTTAAAAGTTTTTTTTTTATTATAATTAACAAAAGGTTTTGTCATAAAAATTAATTTCTATAAAAATTTAGTTAATTTGTTGTTTAATACTTGTTTCTCTAACACATCTATCAAACATATATGACAGCTATTACTTTTTTTTTTTTGCTTTCAAAATGTCATAAAATATTAATGAGCAGATTTTATGTGTATTTAAAATTACTTCTTATTTAAGAATAATTTTATTTTAAACATTTGTTTAATACTGGTTTATAACTGCAAGAGAAAATAAAACAAAATTTTCTGGTTTTATTTAATTTAAATAATTCAAAATTGCAGCATTTCTATAAGAAAATGTCATAAAGCAACTTTAATATTATTCAAAAGCTAATTTTAACAAATTGCAATTATGTTTTAAATAATTTTTATAGATTTATTTAAAAGTTGTTTATTGTTATCATAATTATGGTGGTTTTTATTTAAAAAGTTTAATTTTTGAAAATTATAGTATTTGTAATATTTTAAAAGAGAAATATTTTTTATGTTTTGATGTCAATTATTGATCTCACCTCGTATTAGCCCGTTTGACAGGTTTGAATCGCACGAATTTAGAATTAAAAAAAAATGTTGTTAGATGTATTTAGAATAAAACTAAATCTTAGATAATCAATCAATTTTTACAAAACCAATGTTTGAAGCTGTCATTAAAATGGCGAATTGTAGAAATTCCCCATAATCCGTTATTTTGGGCGGGAATTGGTTTTTAAAATTTGGTCCAAATACAGATAACTTCTTAAAATTCAAAACGAAATACAACTCTTATAACTTTTCTCATTATCTTATGTAAAATAGATCATAACTAATATTTGTTAAAATTTTATTCAAATGTCAAAATTTACAGTGGTTTAAACTTTATTTGAAAGTCGACAGATTGGACTTTCAGATGACATAACATATTTTATAAATAAATTTGTCTTTGTGTTGTTATAGCGTCTCACAAATATGACCAAAATTGGGTTTTATCATACTTCATGATATGATATCTGGAGAACCTCTCATGTAATAGATACATTTTTAGGACAGATTTGTATCCAGCGCTGCTCACTCGTTTAAAAAAGTATAATTTGGTCTAAGGTTTAAAATTTTGTTGGCCTATGTAATTTAAAAAGCAGAAGATTGAATTAATAAATTTTAACAACTTTTCATTATTTTACTTAAAATATAATTTACATTAAAAACAACATAAACTGGTCCAAATTTTTAAAAAATATTAGATTTTAAATTGAGTTAAAAATTAGTTTTATAATTTGATCGAAAAGCTCTAAACTTTATTAAAGGAAAATAAAACTGTTTAAGGAATTTTTAAAGAAAAAATTAATTAGGATCACTGAAATTCCTATTTAATTCTAATAAATTACTATTTTTTTTATTCATAAATGCCTCTAGGCTTTGTTCTATAGCAAATTTGTTTAGTTGTGGTATAAATAGGACTAATTGATAATTATGTCAAATAAAATATAACAAGCTATCATCTCTCCGTGAGTTACCGTGAAAAATTGCCACACAATGTTGCCACATTTACCTTTTTAGTTAAAACATACAAAACAACACAAATTCATACGAAATGATAATACATAATAACGTATGTAATAAATTTGTGTTTAAATGAACGAGAAATGGAAAAACTGCACCGTTTTCATGGATAAAATAGCAAAGTAATCATCATACACACAGAAATAAGTAAAAAAAAAACTCTCATTCCCTCCTAAATTACGAAAGAAAAAGCGCTACATTTGGTCACTCTATAAAAACTTACAACACACACACGAAAATCTAGAACTCACTTTTTACAACAACGATTTGTTGGAATATTTCTGCTTTAACTAAGCCATGTGTTTTTCTTTTTTTCCAATTTAATTTACATTAATTTATGTATTTATTATAACTCTATCTCTTTCTCTCTTATTACAGCTTTAATTTGATGACAACAACAAAAAAGCTAAAGCCAGCAAGCAAGCAACAACAAATACCAAACTATTTATTCCTAAAAGAAACCATACAAGTGTAAAAAAAGAGCATATTGAAAAGCAAAAAACAAAACAAACACAACATACCAAAATATAGAAAAGAAAAAAAATAATAAAAAACCACCTTAACCCTCCTCTTCTAAACTAAAAAAAAAAAACAAGAAAGATAAAGGAAAAACTAATAAAAACACAGATAGCAAAGAAAACCAAAAAAAGGAACATATACACAATTTCTCTCCCTCTTTCTCACTCTGTCACTATCTGTCTAATATTCTTCTTTGTTCAAGAAGAAGAAGAACAAACGAAAAAAAAGAACTAAAATAATTTCATTTTGTTTTGTTTTAATTTTTAAATTGACGTAATACACTCAGGACTAAAAAGTAGTGACCAATAAATAAAAAAAACTAAATTATTTAAAACTTAATAAATAAACAAATAATAATAATAATAAATTATATAAAGAAAACAACCTAAAAAAAACAATAAAACAAAAACTTCAAAAAGAACAACAACGACACACGAAGTTGTCGTCGTCGTCATCGTCGCACCTCCTTTTAACATCCAAAATAAGTTTAAACGGGATAACAACAGCTACAAACTGAGATCGTCAACATGGATGACGATCAGCAATTCTGTTTAAGATGGAACAACCATCAGAGTACACTGATCAGTGTATTCGATACTCTGTTGGAAAATGAAACACTTGTCGATTGTACATTGGCGGCTGAGGGTAAATTTTTGAAAGCACACAAAGTTGTCCTATCAGCGTGTAGTCCTTATTTTGCGGTAAGTTTTAAAAACACTTTTTTTTTACGGTTAATAAAGACTTAATAATGTTTTTTGTTTTGTTTTTCTTTTAGACCCTTTTACAAGAGCAATATGATAAACATCCGATATTTATATTGAAAGATGTTAAATATCAAGAGCTGAGAGCCATGATGGATTATATGTATCGTGGTGAGGTTAATATCTCGCAAGATCAATTGGCAGCTTTGCTTAAGGCTGCAGAATCTCTACAAATCAAGGGTTTGTCAGATAATCGCTCAGGTGGTGGTACAACAGCTCCCAAGCCAGAACATCATAGGGCCACAATGCCCACGGGTAAATTATCGGCGGGCTATACATTGGAACAAACCAAAAGAGCCCGCATAGCCGGTCCCGCTGAGCCTGAAATGGGCTCACGAGAGGGTTCATCTAGTCCTTCAAGAAGACGCCGAAAAGTGAGACGCAGGAGCATTGAAAATGCCATGACTGGTAAGTGTTGAAATAATTGTTTTAAGGGGAGAGAACAGGAAATAAATTATTTTCTTTTTATTTACAGATGTCCATGATAATTCCAATTCATCACAACAACAAACACAATCGAATGCTTCTGGTTTAGGAGCCATAACAGCTGCGGCCTCAGCTTTAGCTGCTGCCGCTGCTGCTGCTCCCAATACACAATCGTTAGCAACAAATGTCCCTCTATCCGCTTCAACATCCTCCTCAACCGCTGTTACAGCAACCGGCACGACCTTAAGCTCCTCCAAAAAGACTGACATTGTTAAAGGAACCACTCAACAACAAACACAACAACAACAAGATGCCATGAATACCGAAAATGTACAAGGTCCTGCCTCTGCTGCAACAGCAACTGGTTCACTCGATACGGAAACAACTGATAACGCTAATATTGCCGCCGCCGCCTCAACAGCCACTGACAAATCGAATCATAAACAACTGCAACAACAACTTAAACAAGCTAAAGAATCGATTAGTGGTGGTGCTGCTGCTGGTGTATCAGGTGCTGGCTCTGCATCAGAACTTGTAATTGAACCCAAAGCTGAATACGATGATGAGGCCAACGATGAACCTGTTGAGGATTTGACATTAGATGAAGAGGATATGGGCATGGATGATTTGGATCAAAATGCTGGAACAAGTCAAGGTGGTGAAGGATCTAGTCAAGGTGTGTATGATAAAAGAAATTTGTTCACTTTCATTTAGAATGAATTCTCTAAAATTTGTTTTGCTTTTATTTTATTTTTTTATTTTTGTAGGATATGCACCCTGGCAACATGATAGATCTCAGGATGAATTATTATTGGCAACACAAGAAGCACAGCAACGGGATCCTCAAGGTGAGTCAAAATGAACAAACAAACAAAAGTGAAAAATCTAAACTAAAAAGAGTCTTAAGAAAACAAATGAAAAAGCAAAAGAAAGCTAAAAAGAGCACGACAGCAAAATAAACTTTCAAAGAAAAAAACAGCAAATTTATTTCAATAATTTTACTCCCTTTTATATAACACAAACGAGCGTCTTCTTTTTTTTAAAAAAATTAGTTTGCTATTAATTTAAGTTGTTTATTATATCATTTAGAAGCTGGTATTTAAAAATTTTGCTTTTTTTTTTGTTAAACAATATGAAAAGTAGTTTGTGTGTTTATAATTTAATTATTTGTTTAACTTATTTGTTAAAAAAGAAGAGCTAAATTTCTATTACAAAATTCCCTTTTAAAAAGCTGTTCAAAGTCGTGCTCATTTTAACAAATTAACTGAAAAAAAAAACTAAAACTATTTTAGAGATATTAAAGAAGAGAATTTAACAAAAACAAGCAACAAAAAACTTTTTTTAACCTCCCCCCTCTTTCCTTTTTTTATAATTTATATTATTTTGTATTATATTTATTAAAAAAAAAAACGCATTAGTTTAAAGAAAAAAAGTATTTAAACTAAATTTAAATACTTTTTTTTTTGTAATAGTTTCTTATTAATTATAATTTTAAAACCTTTCCTCTGTTGTTGTTTAAATTTATAATACTTTTTTCCTCTAACAATTTTAATTTTATCTAACTATTGTGCAAGTTGTTGATTAGAGAATGTTTAACTTTTATTTTTATTATTAAGTTTTATTATTATTATTTTTTATTATTACATATTATTATTATTACATTTAACTCATATATTTTTTTTAATTAATATTTTATATTAATAACAATTACATTTCTAACTTTAACTTTTTTTATTTTTCTAACTGTTTTAATTTGTTGATATATCTAAACATTTTTTATCATTTCTTGGTGTTTGTGTAGCTTTTTTGTTTTTTTTTTTATTTATAAAAATTCATTTCTTTTTTTTAATCCATCATATAATGTTTAGGGTTTTGTGAAAAACAATTATTCTAAAGCCGCTCGCATTTATCTTATATTTAAATAAGTTTTTTTTTTATAAACTAATTTGTTTAAAAATTCATTTCAATATTTTGTTTTTCCACTACCAACACTTACACTTTTTACACACACACACTTACATACATTTACATCTTGTTTATTCCCACCCAAATTACTTTACATTTAACTTTAATCTACGCTTTAAAGTATATTCATGTTAAAAAAAATCTTAAGCAAATCTCATTTAAGTTTGGGGAGGATTTTATTTGCTTTCTTTATAAAAAAAACAAAAATATTTTTGTAAATATTTTTAATCTAAAACGTAAGTTTTAAAAACAATCATTTGGTTTTCAAGAAAACGTTTAAGTAAATTTTTTGTGATAAAAGTTCGGTGGAAACATTTTTCACTCAATTTCCAAAATGTTCTCTTTTTGACATTTTTACTCTCTAAAAGTTAAATGCTGAAGTTTAAGGGAAAAGGAACTCAATATTTAAAATATTAGAATTCAAAGTTAAACTTTTGAAGTTTGAAAATTTGAAATTTGAAGTTTGAATATAAACTTTCGAAATTTGAAAAAAACAAAGTTAAATTTTCGAGATTTGAATATTCGAAGCTAAGCTTAAGAATTTTGAAAATTCGAAGTTATACTTTCGAAATTTGGAAATTTGAAGTTAAACTATTGTAATTTAAAACTCAGAATTTGAAAATTCGAAGTAAAACTTTTGAAATTTGAAAAAACGAAGTTGAACTTTCGAAATTTAGAAATTCGAAGTAAAACTTCCGAAATTTAAAAATTCGAAGTAAAACTTTCAAAATTTGAAATTTAATACTCAGGACATGATAATTTGAAATCTCGTAGTTTTGAAATTCGAAGTTAAACTTTCGAAATTTGCAAATTCGAAGTTAAACTTTCGAAATTTGAAAATTCAAAGTTTAACTTTTGAAGTTTGGAAATTCGAATGCTCGAAGTTGTGAAATTCGAAGTTTGGATATTCGAAATTCGAAGTTGATATTCGAAATTCGAAGTTTGGATATTCGCAATTTTGAAATTCGAAGTTTTGATATTCGAAATTTTAAAATTCAAAGTTTGGATATTCGAAATTTTGAAATTCAAAGTTTGAAAATTAATAATTTTTAAATTTGAAATTGAACTTACAAAATTTGAAGTTTTAAAACTCAATACCTTAAAGTTCGATGTTTGATAACTTGAGTTTTGAAATTCGAACTTGCAAATTCGAATATTGAAATCGATGTTTTGAAGACTCAACATTTTAAAATATTGAAGTTTGAAAACTCGAATTTGGAAATTTGAATTACAAACTTGAAATTTCGGAATTTGAAAATTCAAAATTTGAAAGTTTGAAAATTCGAAATTTGAAAACTTGAATTCTAAAATTCGATCTTTGAAATTCGAAATTAGAATATTTGAAAGTTGAATTTGAAAACTTGGAATTGAACTTTCGAAGTTGGAAAATTTTAAATTTAAAGTTGTATTTGAAAACTTGAAATTTTTAAATTCAAAGTTTAAAAACTCGAAATTTGGAAATTCGAAATCTAAAAGCTCCATAATTGAAAATTCAAAATTTGAAAATTTGAATTTTGAAATTCGAAATTCGAGATTTGAAAATTTTAATTTTGAAATTTGAAAATTTTAATTTTGAAATTCGAAATTTGAACACTTTAATTTTGAAATTCGAGATATAAAAATTTTAATTTTGAAATTTGAAAATTTTACTTTTGAAATTCGAAATTTGAAAATTTTAGTTTTGAAATTCGAAATTTGAATATTTGAAAGTTGAATTTGAAACCTCGAAATATGAAAAATCTGAATTCAATATTTTAAAGTTTGAATTTTGAAAATTAGAGTTTTGAAATTCGAACTTGGAAATTTGAAAACTCGAAATTTGAAAATTCGAAGTTTGAAATTCTAATCTTGAATCCTTGAAATTAGAAGTCAAACTTCTAAAGTTTGAAAATTCGAAATTTGAAAATTTCAAATTCGAAATTTTAAAATAGAAATTTTGAAATTTAAATTTCCAAAACGAAATTTAAAAATATCAAAATTTCAAAATTTGAAATTTCAAAACTCGAAATTTCAAAATTTTAAAATATCAAATTCGATATTTGAAAATTCCTAAACAAAATTTGAAAATTCGAAATTTCAAAATTTCGAAATTTAAAATTCAAAATTTTCAAAATTTTATTTTAAAAATTAAATTTGAAAATTTATTTAAAAATATTCAATATTTGGAAAATTTAAAATTTCGGAAGTTTAAATTTCAAGGTTTTGAAATTCTAAGAAAGATTTTGAAACTTAATTAATATAAAATTTTGTAAAATTTTAGATTTTCTTTTTGGAATCAAATTCCTCCACTTGCTCCTCTTAAAGCTTCACTGCTCTCTTCACTCTACAGCGTTAACAATTTCAAATATTTCTAAAACTTCTTAAACTTTAACAAAACAACTTAAACGTTTTTCTATAAAATTCCCTTTTTTTAACAACAAATTCCTTTTTAAAGGGGTTTTGTTAAGCATAAAGTTATTAAACTTTATACTGCCACCCCTCCCCCGCTCTCTTACCGCTCTAAAGAACATTTTTCCCTTAAAAAAAAAAACTACTTTGGTCGTGTGTTTTAAGCCTATTTAGGGCTTAATTTCTTCTAAAGCAATTGTGTTTTTTTTTTTCACTTTAGTTTTGTTAGTCCCCCCCCCTCTCTACCTCTCTATATAATAAAAAAAAATGCGCCAGCCGTCTTTAAAAAAAAAGAAAAATGTATTTAAATTTCTTTAAAAAAAAAAAGAAATGTTTATAAGTTTTCTTTGTATATTTGAAAAAAAGTATAAAATTTTTTATAAATTGAAAAATACGCATGCATAATTATAGATTTTTTTTAGTTAAAATTTTATGTATAAAAAAAAGGTTTTTTTTGTTTAGAAAAAAAAAAAACGTTTGCTTTAATTTTTTATTATTTTTTTTTTGGTTGACGGGACAATATTTATTTTATATATAATTTTTTATGTTTTTTTAAAGTTTTAATTTAAATTTTTTTTTGGTTTTGTTTACAAAACTTTTTATAATATTTAAAAAGGCACTTTTTTTATAACAAAAAGAAACGGTCGCAATTTTGTAAAACGGGACGTGTTTAGGAAAAAAGAAAAAAAATTTAAACTGCTTTTAAAATTAACTTTTTTAAAAAAAGTTTTTTTTTTATAAAAAGCGGTTGTATTTTTTTATAAGTTTTAAGTGTTTAAAGTGCTAAAGAGTTTAAAAAAATCCTAAAAAAATAAACAAAAAAAAAAAAAAAAAAGAAAATGTTTAAGAATAAGAAAAGAGAAAAGAAAGAAAGAAAAAAGTGTGGTTTTACCTAAAGAAAAGCTGTTTGCTGATTACCAAGCTGTGTGTGACACTGGTTAACTGGTTTAAGGCTGTTTTGCTGGAGAGATGGCAAAGTTTTTAAAGAGAAAAAAAAGCATGTAGCTGTCTTTTTTCTTCCAAAGGGTAAAGTATAAACAACAACAACAACAGAAAAAAAGACAGTGAGGTACTTTGAGCTTTTTTTTTAACTTTAAAAACCAACTAGACGCCTGCCTGCCAACACAACATTTTCTTTACTGCTACATCTACTTCTGCTTCTTCACAAGGGGATTTGTTTTACTACTTTCTTTTACTTTAACTGTTTCTACTACGCCCTTACAGGTAAGTATACTTTGCCCAACAGTATCGGTTGGGTAAAGGGCTTAAAAATGTGATTTTAAAATTATATTTTTGAGTTTGAGTTTTTTTTTTTTACTTAATTAATTTTCTTTCCTCTTTTTGTTTAAATTAATATTGTTTTTAACGTTTTTTTTTTTAATTTTTCTTTTAAAACTTTAAAATATTTGTTTCTGTTTTTGTAAACCTATATTTTAAAGTTTTTTATTTGTAGTAAAAACAAAAACGTTTTTATAAAATTTCCCTTTCCTTACTC